ACATTTTTTTCTTTTTACTCAACAATGAACAACGGCAATATTCAGAGTATCATTGAGGTAATAAATATTTTGAATCAACATTAGGTGACGCAGTTTCAATTACCACCATGGATTAAAAATACCAAGCATGGATACTATACTACTTTGTGTACTCTTTGTGGTATATTTTGTTCCAATTGAGTCGTGCACATCGCGACACTTTGTGTCTTCTTGTGTACGTTTGTGTTAAAAAGTGTAAAATAATTGGAAAGCACCCGATGTCTATTGTATCCAGCAGCCAATGACGCGAAGGATTTTGTTTTTGAGTGGGTCGGTACTCTATCACACGTGTACCCCATGGCTTGTCACAATTAGGGAAAATGGCTGATGAATCGTCGGGACGTGTTTTGACAATTTTGGTTGCCTGAGCTCCGATGGTCGCGGGTCGACGAGGAGTCACGTCGCGGTGGGAAGCGTAATTTCCGTGGTGTTCCTAGCGGTGGTGCCGTCGTTATGTAAAGTCCCAGTCATCCGTTCGCTCTGCGTGTCGCCCGCTAATCGTCCGCTCGTCCCGTGCGTAACGTTGGTTCGAACATGTCTCGATCTGCTCCTACCGTCGGGCAATACTTTTTCAAGAGACCGATATCACCTCTTTATCCAATAACGAAATCTGTGCGCGAGGTGAATCGCACTATCAATCACACACGATAAGTAATTTCATGTGGCGCACAAGGGTTGCCGACGTGCGAATCTAGACACTCGACCCGTCATTTTTTCGCCCGAGGTAGATCGTTTCTCATCTAGGACCGTGACGCGTCGCACAGTGTATTTGTACTCTCGACTCGATAATACAGCGTGTGTTCATTTCCTCAATCGACACTAAAAAGCATGAGTCATTCGTTTGAATGTAGATATAGTCTATTGCGTGCTGTAAGACGACTGTTTCTTTAGTTGTGAATTTTTCTTGTTGACACAGGTGACAATGCGACGAACCCACTGCATTCTCTGACGGAACGTCCTCCATGCGGCTAGGTGAATATAACACTTGTGAAAAGTCCGAGTCGCATCATGCCGAATTAGAGACGTGCGTCTTGTACAGTTTCCACAATCATGGCGTAGTCGAGGGATCAGTAAGGCAATAAAATGCCTGTCATGCAAATTAATAATGGGACAGCACTTTGCTAGTCTCAGAGACTTGTTTAGAATGGATGGTGAAAGACAGCCTACAGAGATATGCGCTAATGCGCTCGGCCACCCGTTGCCCTCGGAAATGGTGAATCGAGATGGCAGTGAGAGCTTGCCCGATAGCGAGACTAATGGCAATGTACCTGTAACGAATCCTAATATACTGCCCAACAGACCAGAATGTAAACTAGAGGGGAATTTGGACAACGATCATTTAAACTTAGATGTAGACAACCATAATACTAGATTCGAATCTTTGTATAGTCAACCCGTCGAAACTCCGGATACGAAGCAAGTTTGTAACAATGGTAACGTTACGAACGAGCCGCCATTTAGGCAACAGGAAGCGTGTTGCGATAGTTCTGGCGGTAGCAACAGTAGTAGCAGTTCCGAGGATAGTCCTGTAAATCCACCCTTAAGAAGATCCTCTAAAACTTTGTCATTTGGAAAGAGAAAAAGTATGTACCAAGTTTATCTCTCTCTTTCTCTCGCATGTAACTCTTGTAATTCCGCTGCTTGTCGACTGGTGCGATTGGTAATGTCAATTTGTTTGCTCGCATTAGATAAACAGCGCAACAAGGATCAAAGCCCAATATGTAATCACGTTTTATCGTCGAAGAAGAAACGTAGCAACTGGGTATTAAAATTTAACTGCGCCAAGAGCAAAAGCTCGAAAAACACGGACATTATTCCCGGCCAGGGGAACGGTAACTCCGATTGTATCTGCACCGGTTACAGGAGAACCGAGGAGCATCCTATGGGTGCGGGCATCGTGTTTAATAGTCGATCCGCTCCGCAAAGCCCCGTCCTCGGGCCTTTGCCACCGAGTCCCGTAATTGATTTATCGCGATTCAACCCCGAAGAATTTCCTATGGAAGTGCGTATTCATTTCTAGATGGTTTTTAAGAGAAGCTTACAGGGATTCGCTATCTATCAGTGGGCTTTTTCTTCTGTTTGAAGGATTGCGACGAACGCGCTCGAATGCAACGCGCTCGAGAGATGGAGGAAGGCGTCGAGCCTCCTCCCGGTTATAGGCCTAATTATCCTACTGGAATACAAGTTCACCCTAACGGAATAACGGTGGACAGTTTGGCGGCGTTGTTCCAAGCACATGCCGGCATACAAGCTGCCGCTCTTACAGCCTTATCCCAGATCGACTTTACGTTAATTCCAAATATCGAAAGGCCTGCGCACACGCAGGTAAACCATTTATGTCCTCTCGTGTCGCTGATTAAATTTATGTTTGTTCAATAGCCGATTTATATAAAAAAACGCGTCAAAAAGTAGCACGAGAATCGAGGGATAAGTGTATTTACAAGTCATGTGTGTTCACTGTTTCGCTATTTCATAATACAGGTGGATTATGTCCATTGTCTCGTACCGGACTTGAGATCGATCACAGCCTGCTCCTTCTATTGGGGTAAGATGGACCGTTACGAGGCAGAACGTTTATTAGAGGGCAAGCAAGAGGGTACGTTCTTGCTGCGAGATTCCGCGCAGGAGGAATTCTTGTTTTCCGTGAGCTTCCGTAAATATGGGCGCTCGTTACACGCACGGATCGAGCAATGGAACCATAAGTTTAGTTTTGATTCACACGATCCAGGAGTTTACGCTTCCGAAACAGTATGTATATTCGTCCCTATTTGTTTGCTATCTCGCACCTAGTATTGACAATCAACTTGTAGTAGCCTATTATCTGGTGTAATTCATAATCCGTTTATACGAGGTCCGATTTACAGGTATGCGGTTTAATCGAACATTATAAGGACCCCTCGTGTTGTATGTTTTTCGAGCCCATGCTCACTATCCCGTTGCATCGGAATTTCGCATTTCCGCTGCAGCATCTGTGCAGAGCGGTGATAACCACGCGAACAACATACGATGGCATAAACAAGCTGCAGTTGCCAAAGACACTTAAGAGCTATCTCAAAGAGTATCACTATAAGCAGAGGGTGCGAGTCAGGCGATTAGACACGGAAAGCGACTCGCACACGGACTGTAGATCCATATCATGTTTACCGATATGAATCTCTTCGTATTAATATTCGATAGAATTTTATTACATGTTGCATAATTATGTTTCTTTACCCATATTTACAGTTGTGCCGCCGTATCAAATGCGAGCGGTACGTGCATACGACATTGTAATACCAGGAATATCATGACTCTGACATACACAGTTACACAGAATATCATTGCAATATTAGCAATAAAAGCATTGTACTCGTCTTAAGCGATAATAGATACCGAGGGAGACGGCGTAGTATAATTAAAGAAAAAATAATAATAATAATGAAGAGGGAAGAGATAGAACTTGTGTGATTTTAGGCACGACAAGTGCCTATGTTCACTTGGCGAACTTTAGTAATCTTATATGTAAATACGTCAGGACGGCAGTGCTTCGTACACTTACACAGTGTATTGCGAAATCGTGTATTATGTAAACTTCAATATCATTGCTATTGTTCTTATTATTACTACTACACTTATTTCTTTATTTTATTCCTAACTACATGATCTTTTAACCATTATTTTGAATATGTGTAATTTTATCTTAATTAAAGTTACGGGAACAGTTTGTATATTGATAATTTTTATAGAACGATACCAAAACTTATGCCTGACAGGCGCGACAATTTAGTCTTTATTATTACAAAACTATGATGTCATCAAATTTAATCTTTATACATAGTTGAAGTTGTAAAATGAGAGGGAGAAAGAAGGAGGAAAAGAGTCATTGCAAAATCTGGTTCGTATTACTCCTATTGTGCCTATTTATAATGTTAAATATTATTAGATAAAAGCTGTCTGTGTTGACGTTTCTCATTGCCAGATACAAAAATCTATAATTTGTGTAAATTCTTTAAATTCCGACACGTGGAGATAATATCAGATGCAGTGAATTAAGTTTGGGGTAACAATGCAAATCATTGAATATTGAGAAATTTGCAAAGTATATAATATTATAGAAATTGTTAAAAGTATTGGTTAATGGTTATTCGTATAATGAACTTCATATTAAAAAAAAATAAAAATTTAATATTTATTACGTGTATATATTTTACTCGTGTCTCAATTCCTAAAAATACGGCGATTATATCACATATATTTTTGCTTCAGGAAAGAAACTACTTGATTACACAATTTGCGTTATATTTTATTAGATAATAAGTCACCTTTGATGAAGGATGTGGTTTTGACAACTTTAGAATTCCATTGTTCCTTTTGTGTCAATAAAACAAGATAAATATTTCAACATAATTTTGCTACATTGAAATCAAATTTTAATGCAACTCTTAGCTTCCATTTGTTCTCGCTGATAGATTCTTATTGTATCTCTGTACAAATTTCATGCAAAATTTAATATAAGACAATTATACTTGAAAGACTTATTTTTAATACATTTCCGTTACAATCTTCTTTTACAAATAGAATGTTAAAACGATGCGCAAGTTTTACACAAATTGCAGAAATAACAGTAGCATTAATTTCCAACTACGTATTGTGTGACTGGCAGCAGTACTTTGTAATTGAAGACGAAGAAGAGGGCGAATACCACCAGCATAAAAATATCTTGTATCAATGTTAAGAAAAATATAGATTTTATTGGTAGGAAAGAGCGACGAGTGTTGGGTAGCGTCTTACGCGTCTAACTGCAAAATTCAATGTTATACCATTGTATTATTTACGCGATCCGTTACTTAACATTATAACGCACAAAACTCGATGCTGACGTCGAGATATCTTGATCGGGATCTTAAAGGTTATGAGTGTTTTGACAACTGTGACAAAAGGATACTGATAAAATTCCTTTCCCATTTTTCTACCATATACAACTCAGTAACGAGCGTATATCGAAAGTACCAGTATTTCAGGAAAGAGTGTAGACTTCGTAAAACGTTAACCATTGTGGCTAGTAGCTACTAATTCACCGCTTGGACTTCTGCGTATCGACCTAGTTGTCGCAGTATAGTCCGAGCACTAGGTACTGGGTGCTACCTACTGCACGGAAGAAAAAATGTAAGCGCGATAAGACACGACAATGGGCAACTCGGCCAATCACAGCTGAGAGTTTAAAAATGGTAGCGTACTAAAAAAATTCGCTCATTGCCTACGGTTTTTCTGCGTACCATTGATTTTTTCCTACATGCTGGAAAGGTGCCTTTTCATACGCAGCATGCAGCAGCAGCAAATTAGTCACGTGATCCAAATTCACTACAGCATATTTGCTGCTCACGGAAAAGGAATAGCTGCAGCAGCACTGGCCGGCTAGATCGCGTGTCTGCTGCTTTGCTGTTCGTTCAATTGAACTTCACAGCGATGAAGCAAAATATGGTGAAATTTATTTTGCAGCATCTAGTAACAATTCTTCAACCAATAGCAGCGAGTTGCTGCGGCAGTATGCTGCGCATGAAATGGTACCTTTACTCTGCACCAGACAATAGCTGCGTTCGGCAATGCAAATCCGAGGCCTTTTCTATCTCATTCTCCCCCCTCGCTCACTCGAATGTAGAAGAGCGTCGCCATTTTTAAAGCGATTTCAAATCGAAGGGCTCGTTTTCATTGAATGTATTTACAGAGAGAAGCGCCCGAACGCCTGGTCTATGTGCATACATATATGTCGTTGCTTGTGTCGAACTTGGGTCGCTGAATGGAAAGATACATGTCTCTCGACGGCGTCTACGCAAGATCTTGCGACACGTATTTGTCGAATTCGTTGAGCGCCTTCCGCATCTCGTCGTATCTCGCGCGGTCGCACGCCTCGCGCAACGGCAGCCAGTCGAACGCCTGGTGCTCGTCCGACAATCTCACGGGCTTGTCCGGATTAAGCAGCTCCGCCAGCCAATAGATGACGATCTTCGGCGTCCCTTTCACTTGGTACGTCATCTCGTGCCTCGCGTCCTCGAAGATCTTGAGGTCGTGCGGCAGGAAGCCAGCCTCTTCCCGAGTCTCGCGCAAGGCCGTCTCCATGTCGGATTCGTCCGGGTCGACGTGCCCTGAGACAGCGTATGAACCGAGCTTAATCGCTCCAATTTTTTTTAAATTTAAATTATCGCGCTAATACGATCGTCCAACAACAAACAGTTTGACTCAACTAGTTGTTACGGTATGTGGCATTCAAGAATCAACTGTTTATTGCGATGAATATTTCCACGTACTTGGCTGGCCAAATTGGCGAGACGCTCGCCTACTGAGAGGTAATATTTTTCGCAAGAAATTCAAAGATAAGAAATATTTAGACTAACACCCTGCCACGTGAAGAGAGGAAGTAAACGTATGCGTATTGTATGTGCCAGAGAACTGAATCACGCGACGTGAACGGAACCTTAATCCGCTTGTTCGCCAAGTAACAGCTGACGAGCCGTGTCAATGTAGAGAAATGCTAACCTTTAGGCGGTGTCCAGTGATGGTCTCCGTACGATGTCTGCATCAGCAGATACTGAATGGTACCTTGTAGCCGGCGAAAAATCACAAGGCCGCAAGCGCGTTGTTGCAGCGACATGACTGCCGGTGGTCGGGAAATTACTGCCGATTACAGCTGTGAGCTAAAGTCCGTATCGAACCGCGCGTTAGAGATTGCGGGCGGGAAAATTCGGATTCGACCAATCGGAATGAGGCGAGCAAAGTTCCCGAGTAGCGATTTAAAATAATACAATACAACTCTGTCCTCCAGTGTATGCACGCTAGGAATCACTGACGCCTTCCCACATGAATTTTTGTGCACGTATCAATATATTTATACATTTTGCATATACATACATGAAAAGTGTATGTGTCCTACATTCATATGGGAAGGCATCAGCTCGGTGCACACTAATGCAAGCAACCAAATTCGCAATAAAAAAATATACTCGTCCATTGTGCGTCCTAATAAATGTTTCTCGAGACATCTTTCGAACCTCTTATACCCGCAAGCCAATGGCCTTCGAGTTGAAAAGAATGTAATTTTATCTTGTAACATTGATATTGTGTCAGCGATATTCGTAAGATCCAATACAATATTGATTTCCTTTCTCGAATCGTCGCCTATTTTTTGTACTTTTGCAAATTTAGCTCGAACGTATTTATACAGTGTATATATATATTGCACATTATTTGATAGAATAGTATAGAAAGGAATTACGTCCACTTCCTCCTTTCACGGTTGCAGGAAACAGGAATCTCATGCGATGAATCTATACCGGCACTCGGCTTTTCGCTGAGCTGCGAGTGAATTGATAATCGAAAGAAAAGAAAAGCTCGCTCGCGCGTTTGACAGGAATCTGAATTGGGAAACAATGCGTGTTACCATTTTATTATAAACGTTTTGCTACATTTTGGCTAGATACCGATCACCAGAAAACACTTAGCAAAGCTGTATATGTATGTACCTATCTACAAAGAGACCGACGTACGTGTGTATGTACGTAATTCACGTATGTGTGTAATGTGCGCGTAGTAGTCGTCGTAGTAGTGGTGGTCGCGCGCAGCCACGCGGGCGACAACTGCGGGAGTGCTATATTCTTTCGCGGCACTTACATACAAAAAATCACAAGAGAGCTCTCCCCCGGCGTTTACGCCGAATTCGATCTATCCTAATTGTAAGAGCGTCGCCCGTGTAGCTCCACGAGTCTAATTGTTTCTCGATAAATCCTTTTCTCACGCCGTTAAAATCAAGAATGTCTTTAGATTTATATCTTCTCCTTCACTTAAGCATCGATCATTAATTTATACATTTATTTCGTAAAGCAAGCGGGCGAAGGGTGGATTTATGTATAAGATTACGATAGATAATTAATTCATCTATATGTCGGGGATGTGTATTATTAATGCTATCTGAAGGATCTTACGTTAACATTAATAATAATAATAATAATAATGATAATAATAATTCCTATTTATGGTGTGTGTGTCTGTGTGTCTGTGTGTGACTGTAATACATCTCTATAGAGTCATTTACAACGGCCGCTCTGGATTATAATCCTTTTCTTTTTATTTTACACGGTGATAATAATGACGCTCGATATTGTACTCAGGATACTAACTCTGATAGACGTAGGAACAAATGGAAAAAAGAAAACGATCATTATCCTCTAATTTGCTAAAAGTGAAGTGGATCTCTCTCTCTCTCTCGCTCTCTCTTAGAGTGTGTAAATGTTTGCATCCAAGTTGCCTCTCCTTGTAAATCGATAACATTATTACTACATCGTTATATTACATTATCTCGCTTATTGGTTGATGAAGTAATCCGATAATGACGCGAAACTGGTATGGTTATGCACAAAGAAGGTAAGTCCCGATGCCGGTGCTGCGTTAATCATTTACTTAGAATTTTTGTCAAGATGTTCGGTAACGGACAATTGGCGCCGATACTTAGTTGCTATCAGTCGTTTCATGATCCGCAACACGACGTCGACATCGCGATCGTACATCGTGCTGGCGCGCTGAAGTTATACTCTGTATTTCTCAGTGTAGCAAGTGTTAGAAATGTGAAAAATCATTGAGTTTTATAGTATGTAAATAAATTAGTCATTGCCTATTTTAATAACATACTTCATTAATCTTAGGCAAATATAAAAAGTTTGCGATACTCGAGTTCCAAAGTGTATTTTATGATTTTGGTGTGTGAGGTTCTCTCTCGCTCGCTCTCTCGCTCTCTTTCTCTCACTCACTTTTTCTCGGTAATTTTTAGTACCTTCGTAATATATACTATATACACCAAGTCTCTAGTTCGCTTCTACGGTTTACGGTAATCTCTAATTTTATTTCATTCAACTGCAAATACTTCTGAATGAAAGGATTAAATAGTACAATATAGCCAATTATAATACTTAAATTTAATATTATCATATTTCTCGTAGAAATAACAAATCTTGTTATTACTGATGTAGTTTAGATTTATAATTCCAATTTTGAGAATGATGAAGTGTGGGTATTATTCACATGAAACACACGAGTAATAACTCGACGATATTTCTAAATTATGTTAATAATTTCTCTGCTTCTACCTTTATAGCATTGTGTATACTATATATAATATATACATATATATACATATACATATATATATATGCATACATATACATATATCTATACTCTTGTCGTCTATGATAAAAATAAAAATATTAATAATAATTATTACACGTTTTAATCATAATTGGCTAATGTCTATATAGTGCTGCGTATTTTCAAACTTATACTACAGATAAAAAAAGTAAAGTATCATAAAAATGTTTGAAAACAATGAACGCGGTTGCATAATGTGCAACATAAAATTAATTCAATTCATGATTTGTTTGCGGCGCTAATACATTACACGTGATGACGGATGCTCGTCGATAACGCAACACGTAACTCTCAGTTCTATAAATTTGTCAAATTATTTACAGGTAAAACCTCGTGTTTGTAAAATTTTACATGTAAGACGTAAGACTTGAGACAAACAGCAAGTTACAGAGAAATCTCTTGACGTTGCAGATGCACTGCTTTACGTTCTTTTATTTTCCGCGTAGTCGCGTCATTTTATTGTACAAGGAACGCCGATGCGGTGAAAAAGGAAATCGATGTGAGAAAATGTTTTATTAGGCACATTTAACAATCCGATTGCATCGATTCTACTTTAATTCTTCAGCATCTTACATCAGATAGTATTGCGATAAGTATTCGATAATCTTCTAGGGACATATTAATTTGTATGCAGATACCTTCAACGTCAAGACAACATAAAACGTAATACTGTTTGAAAATAAAGCGATACTTTATGACAGGTATGATGGATTGTTCGAAAATTGGGAAGGCAGATCAACCTGTAAGCACGATTATTTCCGCTCGGATGCACAGTTCCTTGTTATCTATAACGAAAATTCAAAACTAATAAACATAGATTATTGTATCTAATGCCAGCTTCTTTGTACGGTTGATCAGGTCAGCTGGTCCGTCTCTCTCTCTCTCTCTCTCTCTCTCTCTCTCTCTCTCTCTCTCTCTCTCTCTCCCCCCCCCCCTTTCTCTCTCTTCTCGCTCGCAAAACGTTACGAAGACCCGATCTAGTTCTCCATTTTGGCACTCGGGAGTATTTGAATACGTATTAGCCGTCACGGATCACAGTTTCGGACTTTTTTCGACGAATCGTTAATAGCGGCACCTCTCCCTTTTTTCCCCTCTCTCCTGACGATGACGTTCGTCGACCGGGACGGAGGAATCGCGTTTAAACGAATATTTCTTGGGTATCGGATTCGGAGTCGGAGTCCCAGAAGAAGAAACAAGAGTAAAACTCCTCGGTGACCACCGCCACTTGGTGGCTACGCTCACGAGGTCGTTATGGGTTGGCGCGATTGGCGGCTAGGGCGCCCGTGGCCGACAGTCACAGCTTGAGCTCGTTCGCGATTTTGCTGGCGATATTTTTAAAACCGATCGACGTGCCGGAGATACGCTTGAACCGCACCCCGTTCAGGGAAAGTCGTGGCAGCTTGCAGACTTCGATCTCCCACTGCACTTGGCTGTCCGTCGCCGCCTCGCCGTGCGCGCACAGCAATAGGAACCGCTCGCGTTGCTCGTACTGACATTTGTTGGCGTCCAGTACCTGAAACAACAATCTGATAACGTCTCTGGTCTCCCACGTAAACGTATCGTATCATCCGTCTTCATTCGGCTTTAAACGGGCTAATAACAAAGCGCACTACCGCCTTCGATCGCAACGTATTCATTAACATACACAGAAAGAAAAAAATGTTAGATCAACTCTTACATACTCAAATTAACGCATTCATCGTTTTGTATATATACGCAACAATCGTCTTAAAAGCATTTCATAATACAATAATTGTTACTTCAAGAATACATATTGTATAATTCTTTTGACACTAAAATCATTTTAATCGTTATACTCTTCGATTTGAAAATACGTCATTTTCTATCCAATATTGTTTCCTTCCCATTCAAGAAAATTATTCTTAAATAACAAGCATATATTTTTCTCGATTGAATGATATAAAAGTGCTTCAGTCAAGTAAGTTTTTCTTCTTTTAACGCAACGTAATCTCATTTCAAGATTTTCACGTTGAAACTAAACATATTTTCAAAAGAAGAATATTCTCTTCTTCTGTGTAAACTTCTCTTTATCAATACCTTTCGGATCTCAGACATTATTTCGTTAGGATCTCGACTACTGGTAGTCTTCATACTCCACGTGAAACGTAGACTGCGCGGCTTGACCTGTTCGTCATTAGTGGTAGCTCCGCTGTAACAAAAAGATATCTTAAACCGTTCAATTACCTATAAAGCGATTCCAGTGGCACAGATTTTACAATTGACGAATAAATTTATTGCGGTGGTAAATCCAACTGCGGTAAAAAGCACACATTTTCATTAAATCACGTAGCAAAATTCCAAACACGCTTCTACCTTGCACGCTTTTGTTTATCTAACGATAATTTACGAATTTGTCCGTATATTCGTTGCTTTCATCTATTATTAGAAGCTATAACGTGTTTTTATATTGCTTGTCAGGATGAAATTAAAAGTTACAAAATGTATCGAGTCATGTAAAATGTCGATCTTGTGCAGAATGTGATAAGTTGTACAATACATTGAAGCTTCAAACTTGCAATTGCGGCGTAAAAGTAAATTCTTAAACCCGAGTTAAAGAGATTCTACGATATAAAATCGTTGCGCTCTAAAATTCTTGCAAGCTGTCGATAGATAACGTAAAAGTGAATGTAAAATGGAAATTCGTTCAGAATCAAACCCTATAGAGAGTTATAACATACATGCGCGACATGCAAATCACTTATGTTATAAATTTAATTACACTTTTAGTGCTGCATACATACATTTACATTTATAGTAAAGAACACTTAAAAATGAGTTATACAAAAAGACAAACGTTATATGTGAATCATCGCAACCCTGGATATACATATATTAGGTTACTATCGTAACGTTGTCAAATCTTGGGGTATTCTTACGATAATGAAATGGCAATAAAAAAAGTCTCGCGCTGCACATATGTGATTGATGAAGCACGCAAGTGATAAGACAGGTGAAAATTACGAAGCAGAAATGACGAGAATCAATCATCCAACACGTGTTCCGCACACGTGTGTCAAACGAATATTATCTTGCATTGATAGTTATGCGCAACTGGAATAACATTCTTTTCTACAAATAATTGTAATAATTGGAACATAATTCTTATATTGACGTAATTATCTAAAACACTCTTGATGGACAACCGAACCACTTTACGAAATACGCATGTTATGTCGCACAAGGATGATCGTGCATCAAATATGAAATTGTATTTAAACGAACGTTAATGACCGACGAACTGAAAGTTGGGTGTACGCAAAATCAAGGAATGAATGAGTGAGAAATTAGAATACGGATAGTGGTATTATGGTATGTATAGCAACGTACCTCACTACTGGGTGCTTGGGGGGTACGGATGGGTCCATGGGGCTGAAATAACAAAACAAAGGCAGTTGCTAACAAACACTAAACATGATAAATTAATCAAATTGTCATATGTATAACAACCATCACCATCCTGTCACCATTGCACACTGATTACGACACAGAAAGTTATATGGTATGATGAGCTTGGAAAATCTCTGATGGGAATGGCATGTTGATATTTTCAAAATTGCACACATATATTTTTCTATAAAAATATAAAAGAAACACAAGGGCGTGTGGTGCTGACGTGAAATCTCATCGCGAGTACAAGCGCTTATTGTTTAAAGAAAGATAAATGTTATCTCTCGGAGAAATTAAGTTATGCAAATTGCGATTGTTTTTCTAGAATAATCTCAGATTCCTGATATCGTGTATCAAGGGATAAATTATGACCGTGTTGCGTAAATGTACAAAAAAAAGAGCCCAATTCACACATAACACATTCCTATCGAGTTACATGCATCGTGAACGCTATAAGACATATTTTCGCACAGGCAAAAACGTTCCTTTTATGTATACAAGGATTTAGAAATAAATTAATACAACATATACAAGACATTTTTGACATATTTATTAATGCGAAATTATTACTATTATTGCTCCTTAAAATTATTAAATAATATTTCTATCTTGTTTATATGCATCATAAGCTATTTACTGCCCTCCATAACGTAAAATCTAAATTAGAATTTCTAAATTAGGTTTTTTAAATAATGGATTGACTACAATTAATTGAATATCCTAAGGATCCACTCTGGATGCTTGGACGGGCACGTAGTTGGAGTGCAGCAAAGAGCGTAATCACTTAAAGACATGTTATATTATATAATTTGCAAACAAATATTCTTTAATTCATGTTTTGATATATTTAATATGACGTGGTTGTCTCTCTCTCTCTCTCTCTCTCTCTCTCTCTCTCTCTCTCTCTCTCCCTCTCTTCTTTAATTGTTCAATATTATTCTTTCTCTCTTTTCGCTTCTCTCATTTTCATACACACTAGTTTATTGGGTGACCTTAGCTATTACACTTCATTACCTTCATAACTTTCTAATATCACTTATGTATCCGAATATCGATAAACATGTGACAAATACAAAAACAAATCCTAGTAATGACGATTTTAAACATTCGTTGAAAATATATCAAAATACTAAATATATCGGGATACATTAATTGTGCAATCTCACGAGATGTAAATAAAAAGTTAATTGGAAATATCTCATATCATACAATAGAAGTAAATGTACGATTTTTTTTTAAATATCCTTCATACAAAAGAATATAAAAAAATCATCAATGTCTTAAAAGATCAGAGACGATAAAATTTCTCTGATTTGCTACAAGTAGGATAACATATTTAATTTAAAAGCAGCCCAAGGCCACTCTATAGGATACGCCATGATTCGTTAATAAACGTATAATAATAGTTATTTGCCATATAAATGTAGAAGCTATTTTGCGTTGACCAGATATTATTAATAAATGCTACTGGCAATGACTGTGGAAGGATTAGTGCACTGATCTATCGTGTAACGAGATGTTTGAAATACACAATATTATATGGGAGAGAAGGCACGTATATGCGATATTGGGGTAACACATGATCACAATTCTCGAATTTATTTATAACATACGCAAAGACAATACCTGTACTTAGTATTGAAATAAAGCCAGATTGCAGAGAGAGAGGTTATTAGTATTTTTAATAGCTACGTCTTACACCGTAAAGGTTTACGCGCAATATCTGGCTCCTGTATTTTTCATTCAAAATCTGGTAGGTATGATTTCTTATATATTAAAAAATATATAGGTTTCTATGATAAATATGACATTTATAAAAAGTAATCTTGGGTATAAGCTATTATATATGACAGTTAATTTAATCGGATTTTTAATATTACGTTGTACTAAGCACAGCATTGCTCTTTAACAAGAAATCAGCTCATTAACATTTATCTTTATTGTTATACAGTGAGATTATCAAAGACATACGTGCTTAAATATTGTATATTTCTAATAATTAAATAATGATATAATGTATAGATTAGGATACATTAATCAATATACAAATAAATGAAGTACCAATTAATTATGGCCTGCCTTGTTCAAATAATGTTCGATTATATGTCGTGTTTTCAATAATTTATACAATACAAATTAATATTTATTAATAGAATAAATTAAAGCAAGGTGGGTAAAATCGAATTGCCATTCATTGCAATCAAATAGCACTCTAATCATAATGTATTAGTCAGCTTTGAGATCAACGTCGGAATAGTATTATACATAATTTCCAATTTGCAGAAATAAAGAATTATTCTGGTATATTAAATTTATTTTTTTTGTGTAATCTGTTGCTATTTGTTTACAGAATCTCGACAATGAAAAATGTTTGATAAAAATAAGTTATACTTTAATTAATCGCACTAAACGACAAGCACTTTAATCAAAGAGAAAAGATAAAGTGGAATGCCTGATATATGTTTCACATAACTCCATATTTGCGTTTATTCGACTGAAATGTATTTGTTTTTAACAAATTGAGTCAACTAAATAATATTCAAATATAAATGCAATTATTACACTGACATTGATTACAAAACGTAGACATAAAAATCAATTAAAACGAACAATGTACGAAGAATATTCAATTGTAAGATTGGTTTTCTTTAAATATTGTAAATAGATCGAGTTGATTAGCTCCTTTACTTGTTTAGATTCTTTCATTCTTGCAAAGAAATACGTTATTTATTATAACTCGACAATGATCTACAAATAAGAAGAAAAGTATAAAGCCGCACCAGATACTTTACGGAAGAAAATGTTGTAGCTATGTCAATATCTAAACATACATATGTATATGACAACATACGTATCCATTCATTTTTAAGGACATACTTCCTTGAATTTCGTTTTAGTGAAAGAATCAGTACAAGAAGCCAATGTATAAACTTATTAATGACATTACAAGAAAGCCAGACACGTATTCCACGCTATCTTTGAAAAAAGGAATCTATGCTGGATATCAAAAGCAATATATATGTTACACCGTAAAATCAGTATCAGCGTAAAATCAGTAACTGTACACACTTACTAGTAAATTTATGCGTATATGCTAACCTTATGTTATTAAAACTGCCAGAAGAGGAGACAATTGATACTTTTGCTAGAAAATGTATGCACTTACTAGGTATTTTAATTTAGCGAAAATGTATTCCAACAGAGAGTATGTAATTAAAAATATTACTCTGTACAGTTTACTATGTTCCGATAAATAGAAATTATTTTATTAAACAACAAAATATTTGTTTACTTCTCGTATTTTTGAAAAGTTCTTTGTTTAGTTTTCTGATAAATAGTTATTTTAGATCGTATGATCGACAATTATCATTGTTCAAAGTATCATAGCATATTAATACTTCATTATTTCAATAAAATTAAACTGCATGCAGTTTAATTTATAAATCATTTGTTAAACAGGATAGGTAATTCGTATACGCAAAAAAGTTTGTACTACTTGGTATGTTTTCACTGAAGCTGAATAAAAATATAGGGTTGCGAGTAAATGTATATGTTTACTAGAAATATATTTATTTCCATTTTTACTCTTTTTGTCTAACCTTAAATAATTTACTAACAAATACATTTATTAATAAATATATACAATTACTGAATTTTACGCTTTCACTGTGATATATATATATATATAGATATATATAGTACATTATATTATACTCGGTCAATGGTATTAACTTCAACGAGCAACATAATATTATGCAAAATAGGAAAATACGCAATATAAGAGATATTACTTTAATTATTTGCAATAACGAAAGTTTTATCATTAGAGTCGACATTATAACTTGAAATATTATTACTATCCAACATATTTTCCTAAAAAAGAAAAAAAGAAAAAATTAACTATACTGTTACAAGATATACAACATTATTCTAGTCCTCATTGTAATTTATGGAAAAAAAAGAGAAAATCAAAACGAAATAAAATAATACATTCGTGGAAGATGCGATTGCCATGGCGCGATATATCTGCATGCGGCTCGCTCTCATTTCAGCTCTGGGGAAACAAGGCGAGACTTCCTCCTTCACTTAAAAAAATCTGTCAAAGTACGAACAATCATATGTACTCTATTATCTATTAAATCTGTCTGGTTCGTTCGTTAGTGTTAGTATAACTATAACATTTTCCTCACACTCGAAATTCTCTACCACTCGTAATCAATCATGACGATCGAATATAATATACTTTCACGTTAGCAAGCATCTGTCGCTTTTATCTTCCAAAGGCAGTATAGAGAGAAAAAAAAAGGGGTATTATATAAGGATAGTAGTGATATACAAAAACAAGGAACATGAATAAACGTGTGTTTCTCCGATAAAATATAAATAAGACATTATTAAAGACGTTAAAGAGTTCGTTCGAAAGAAAATATTTAGGAGTTGTAAAACACTTGTGTGCTAGTTTATATATGTATCGTTGATTTGCAGATAAAAGTCATTTCATCACATTTGTAAGATTACTAGTTTGCTAATTTCAATGTAGGAGAATAATCTATGCCTGTCACACATCTGCCGTTCCACAGAAAAATATGCTTTCCGGTGTATAAAGATAAGTGTTTTGAGCACACTTATTAAAAATCACACCTATCATTTTAGTGGCTAGATACTTTACGTCGGGCGGCATCTATTAACTATCATCGCTTCTCATAAAATGGTTTGACATTCTCTGCTGTGACTTTGTAACGAAAGCAAAACAAGTGACAGCTAAGACAGCTTTAGTGGAGTGAAAAATGGTAGAAAAATATAAAGAGAGAGAGATGTGTCAGATTTCTCTTTAGATGGACGACGTAAAGTATGCATACGGTTATAGGCAGGCTGAATTAGGAAAGGCACAGATATCATCAGTGCTATATCTAAGTGCGTAAGGCGATTTCCTGGTTTGTGATTTCAGGAAGACATTTTTCTCTATTCATATAATCATACATACATATACGTACATATATATATATATGTATATAAATTTGGATACGATGATACACGATATGTACACATATACATATCGTAGATGACGCACAATATTCGACATGTAAAAGTTCTTAAAAAAGTAATTTACATTCAATCTTGAGAACCACAGAATAACGGAGTCAAGAGTTTTTCTTTTCTCTTTTGAGATTGTATACATCACACAATATCCATTGAGCGGTTGACTAATAATAAATAGTCTTTTGCCTCTTTGCCCAGCTCGATTCAACATGCGTTAGGTACGCATCGGGTATGCTGTATCATGATACTGTCGGCACATCGGTTGTGTTAAAACCCGTGTCTGTATGGCCTTTCGCTTGTCGGAACTCGAGAGATGAAGCGAAGCTTATATGGTTCATGGCCTGCAGCATATAATATATATATACCGGTATGAATTGATAATAGAAACGTCAGATATTCGTTCTGATGCACCAATGGCTATGGATGCCGTCAATTCGCACATTTCTGCACAATTATTCTGTACTATGTTGGAACGATGAGTACAGTGACCATATCATGAAAGTGACAGAGAATATTATAACAATTGTCTACAACGAATTGTATACTCTCGTTATTCTGCAGTCTTCCATCCTCAGCTCCAAGTACTTATGTACGTGTGTAGTATGCGCTGTCATTTTGCATTTAAATGTGCGATACGATAATTAGATTCCAAATACGTATATATATGGATATATATATCCATATATATCCATATATATACATATATATGTATAATAAATCAAAGATATGCCTCGCTACAATCGAGTGAAAAAGAGGGATGCACAATGAGTATGCGAGGTGGCCTCAATTCAGCCAAGCAGTGTGTATTATTTCCAACGATCGATGTCAAGAGAATTTGTCTTCAGCGCGAATCTTATAACAATATAATATATACGATTTAATCTATTTATAATATAGTGAATAAATAAAAACTCTATACAACGCTGTGTACTTTTCGTTATGCATATAGAACGAAAATATTTCTACTTAGAATTCAGCTAAAGGGTACAATCTGTCAAGCCAATATTTATGGGACAAACAAACAATACAGATAGGTGAAGTACGCGATACGCTTGAGGATGAAAATGGTATATAAGTAAGTATAAATAAAGCTACGAAACAAAATGCATAAGCTACATGTTTTGCGGCTTTCACTGATAATGGTCGCTGCTGGCTCATCGAATTTATAACAAATAATATCATATATATCCTTATAATATGTAAATATATCGTATAGAATTTCCAGAATTACATAGTCATTGTGCATCCTTAAAAACAGAAACGTCATTTGCATGCAAACAATAGATACAATTTATCAAACTATATCACAATATGAAATATAACCGAGTATATTAAAATCTCAACACTTAAATGTTTAAGATGCTAAGCATGCACTGAGGATCCACTGCAAAGCTGTGATGTTTATGCTAGCATTTTCAGTTTGTATTTGTAATCGGATAACACGGCGGCATGAAATTACTAAATATATATTTACTACTTGGTATGTAGATATATCGTTAAGTAAATTATAACAAGTATGGATGTAGAATCAAATCAAGGAGAGAATCAAAAATATATAACCATGTTTTATGCTATGAAATATTTGATTTTCATGGATCTTCTTTACGCGTGGATATAGAAAGTTTCGATTAAAATAGTACATGCAACAATTATGTATTGTATTTAAAAGTGTCGATTTTGGGTAACTCTGCTAATGACTTTGGTACTTTAGTATACACTTCTCTTCTAGATATCTTCATCATCTTTACGGGAGTCAATTATCAGTAATTATTAAACTTTTTTTTAAATTTTACATTAATATCAATTAGGAAATTATTGAGTTGAGTATAATCCCATTCAATTGTTTGTTTCACACAATTGGCTCATATTACAAAATACGTGAACGGTAAAAAAAAACTTCGTAAATGTACAGTGGTAATACAATCGTACAAATTATTAGCATGCTGTCAAATACCGATATCGTTAAGTATCAATTTAATTAATCATAGAACTTACCGTTTGGAGAACTTGGAGGATAATTTTGAGAAGAAGGACGGCCTTGCTAGTGGGCTAATTGCATTTGTGTCCTGCGTTTGTGTGTGACCCTGAAAACATATTCATGTTAATTGTTAATAAAATAAATAACTCTTTATAATTAACAATTACTAGCTAATGAAAAAGATAAACTTGTCGATCCGATTCTTCTCCTACAGGTATATCTTGAGGGCTCACCTGAGTGTGATTTCGCTGTGCTCTGTTTTGGCCAGAATGGAACGTACTGCGGCTCGGAACATTCCGTGGAAATGCTGGCGTAGTGGTTGTGGCCAGTCTGTTGCTTGTGCATACACCCAAACTAATAACAAATAATGATTTCTGTTTTAATACAGATTGCAATCGCGTGATAACTGTATAAGCTGATTTATCAGCATTTTTACTTGTATGCACATAACGGATCGTGGAAAATATAGTTCGCAGTAAATACACTACCATATTATCACCCATTCAATTAAAGTGAAGCTGGTATCAAGATGCAAAGAGGATGTAAGGTAGATAATTAGTTGTTTAACTACTATATTTCTAAATATATTATTGTAAAAGTTTTCAACGCGCAAGCAATGTCTTATAAGTTAAGTGAATAGAGTTAATAAAGCAATATTGATAAGAGAAATTAATTCATACTGATAAAAAATATGTAGCAAGTTATTGTTCAAATAGGCACAGTTTACAACTGCGCATGCATGTTGGGAAGAATTATTTCAACAATATAATTGTGCTTTTTGCGAGAGATGCGTTTTAAATTGTATAATAACCCTAGAAAAGGCTTCATGATTGTAAATGATATTAAGTACAACTTAAGTGTCGGGTCGTATAAATAATTTATAAACTACATACTATTAAGTAGCAGCTTATTTTCTATATACAATGCAGTAAATTGTCGAAATTGACTAGGAAAATATAGAGAAATATACACATCAAACACGCGTATTTGTATATAAAGTTAATAATCAATTGAAAATAAGTACGTTGTTTCATACAACAAATTGTGACAACATGCTCCTCTATATACTACAGTATATTATCATAATTCTCCTACATATTAAGCTTAGTAATCAATCAAGAGTCATACAAAAATTTTCAAGTGAGCGAAATGTAAGCATGTCGAAATTGTATCATGAATCGTAATGAGATGGTTGTACCATGATTAAACCTAAATGATTTTTATACAAATGGAAAAGAAAGCAACAAAGCTGATGTAGAAATCTAGCCAAGTTCATCTCATGCAAATGAAAAGGAAAGAAGAGGAAGAGAGAGAGAGAGAGAGAGAGAGAGAGAGAGAGAGAGAGAGAGAGAGAGAGAGAGAGAGGAGTATAAAAAAAAGCAATGAGAAAAAAGAATTGAGAAACAATGAGAGAATGACCAGAAACTATCCTAGAGAATCCCTATGTCGACAATTTTTTTAATGAAGCACTCAAAGAGATCGGCACTGTCGTTCTTGAGCTTCTGAGAAACGAGCTTTCTCATCGTCTGCTCCGACAAAATTAGCGAGACTGAAATGACAAGAGAGACCTAATTACCCTAAGAGAGTTAGTGGCCCAAGAAAGAAGTAATGAAATGAAAGAACGAATGTATATCCGAAATATATATAATATATATATATATTTAAAAATATGCAGGAATGTATGCAGGTCTTTCGGTTTTTGTATTAGGCATCGGGGGCCTGTACCTCTGCCTAAGAGGGTCAGCAGTGGCGAGTAAGGAGTTGTGGGCGTTGCGTGGTTGAGGGTCCAGTAGTGAATGGTCGCTGGGGGGTACACCACTTGAGGAACGGTGACTTGCGCTGATGCTCGCAGACTTGGTGTGACCCCGCGTTGGTCTAGTGCCCTCGCCCAGGCTGTGCACAAAACTAATCAGCACATTGCCGAACCTTATGTTCCACGAGATTCAATCCTATTTTTGTTTTTATATAATATAAAGAAGTAGAAAATCTCTCGAGATTGTACAAAAGCAAACCGGGGCGAGATTTACGATTTCTGAAATTTTAGATATCGAAAATATTTTATTACGTATTTATGCATAATAATAGATTTAATTCTCGAATGAAAATAAAGAATTACATTCAGAGTTTTTTTGTTTCAAATAATGATTTAATTCTTACTTATGTAATGTTAGTTCGTCTTTTATGTTGTATATTGTTTTAAACAAAGAAAGAAGTATATTTAATTAATTTTCATATATACCTAAACGTGTTTCATTTATCCGTAAAAATTCTAAAAACCCTGGGCACATATATATACATGTATGTGTAACATATATACACATATAAATTATATATATCTTTACAGAAATATATATTTTGTAACAAAACTTTGTTGACAAGGAATGTAAAAGGGAATCGTAAGGACGGAAAAAGGAGAATGAAAATACTAACTGCCGCAGCTAATGTAATCTTCGCGAAATGGAGCTCGATAAGAGAACAGAATATGATGCTACAACGTAAAGATGAAAAATGTATGATGATGTTAATGTGTGTATCTAAACACCTTCTCGACTAGAAATATATTTGAGATAACAGAGTTATACATGTGGATGCGTCTGTGGTCTGATATCATTTCAGCAAGCGTTTGTACATGTACATGTATAAACGTTACATCGGATTGTCCATTTGATACATCTGTCAAGCCATAAAGAAAGTGATATCGCAATGAACGATTGGCAGGCAGCAGCCAGCATGCTAGAGCAATGCAACAAACAAATGAACTCCCCGCGGCTTTTAATGACAGACTTTGTTATTATTCACTCGATTATCAAGTCGTTTCTCGAGTAATGGTTTAGTGTACTTTGCACACATAAGTAATCAGTCGTCTACAGTTAGTGAAAGTAAAAGTGTTAAGTCGATAGAAAACGTCACACGAGATGCACTAATATTCTTATTTTATGTATATATCGTTATATAGTTAATGAGATACTGGACTGTAATTTAATTTGCCAAGATAAGTTGATAATAACAAGTTTAAGTTATATATAAGGGACGAAAACTAAATACACATCCAATATCCCATACGTTAAATCGAGAAGTGAGAATACATATGTATATATAGAATATCAGAAAAAAAATATAATAAAGAATTTTCTAGCACTCGAGGTTTATTCTTAAATTATATTTGTGTTCTGTTTTCATGTAAATAGATCGCATGTTTCGAATAAAAATAATTGGTTATCACTATACCTGGGTACTTCGTTGGTTCTTTCAGTAGACGATGATGATGTTTTCGCTTGATCATAGGAGATGGTGCTACGTCGACCAACAGAACCAGGAGCAGGTGAGGTAAGAGGCCGACCACCACCTACTCCTGCATTCATTGTGTTGCTCTTGCCTACCCTTGCTTTACCACCAGGACTTGTACCCACGCCTAGAATGAACATTGTCACTGCAAGCCTCATTAGATATGGTTCAACACAAAACAAAAAGCAACATACTTTAAATTATAACAAACAGAAACATATCATCAAAAAGATTATGAGCTGCCACGTCTAACCTGCTTCCATATTAAGGAACAAACATAGAAAGTAATCGACTCGTCCCTCTTTTGCACAAGTCAATGCATTGTAAAGACCCAACATGATAAATGATTTTAGATTTTAGAGATATATGTGCATGATATGAAATAAAATTATGACAACATGATTATGCGTTCAATCTTACATACAAACATATAAGAAACAGGCATGACAATTGGACATTAAAATGTGTACGATCAGAATCTTCGAGAACGATATGAATGTAACGATAAGTACGATAAAATTTATGATTTATGAACGATACGGAATAATACGAATAACACAAATAACAGATAAATTACAAATTAATTGTAAATTCGATAAATTAGGTATTACACAATTGCGCCCTTATCCAAAGCAACCTCACCCAAAGATTTTGCTCAAGCATCACGAAGGAAATATAGCGCGACAAAAAATCGAATATATTTTTTTTTCTAAAGAAATTTCTATTATAAAGTATTGTTCAAGGACAAAGTATAACAACTCACTAGTATCTAATTGCCCAGGTGGTTGACTGTTTTTAGGTGCAGAGGGCCGGCTTGCAGAAACGCGAGCGCTATTTTCCTTGATTGTGGCAGCGTCCACGGTATTTTGTCGTTTAAAATTACCCCCACTTCCAGTCACAGTTGTGCCAGTTATTGCAGTCGCGTGATTGTGATTCGTTGCGTTACCTGGACTGGGTGCGCCTCCTAATAAGCGAAAAGATTATATAATAAAATAGCTTATTTTAAACAGAGTACTTACATAATAATATAATAATATTTATTTCCTTCAGCTTACATAGCCAAGAAGTGGACTTCGTTTACAATATTTTCCTTAACCCATTCATTCATCCACACCTTACATCCATCATCCTATACTCTTCCCCTCTGTTGTTCCTTCTCTCTCTCTCCCCTATCCTCCCCCCTCTCTCAGCTTTCTGATTTCGCTCATCCACTCTCTCGCTTCCCTCTTCCCCTCCTCGCTTATAATATCCTTTACCCTCATCCTGTTCTCTACATATCCCCTTAGATGCTCAATCGTACCCTCCCCCTCTCTGCATATTTGGCATCTTCTTTCTTCCTCTCCTAACCAGAACTTATTTTTCTCCTCTTCATTCCCGCATCTCCACCTAGCTATTATCTTTTGGCTTCCTTTCCATCCCCTTTTTCTTAAATAACTCGGTCTACCCACTACCATTGTTTCTCTATATCTCTCGTTATACCTTGTGTTGCTTATTTTACCGTCTATCCATTGCCCGTGTCTTTCTATTTCCCTCCTTCTTATTACTTCCCCTACATCCGCGCCTCCCTCTCTAAGTAATCTAATTCCTTCCGAGCTAAACCCATTCCTCCTATAGAACTTTTCTCTTTCTTCTTTCTTCTCTCTATTTCCTTCCTTCTCTTTCCACCCCCTGATTTCCGCCCCATACGTCACTATTCCTACCACTAAGTATTTGAACATCATCATTCTTCTCCTGAAGTCATCTCTGAACCTGCGTTCCCCTATTCCCCATACCTGTCTCATCGTCACATTTGTCTTTTTTTTCAGTTCTTTTATGTGTCCTTCGTCCTCTCCATTTCTTCTTAGTACGTTTTTTCATGATTTCCTTCATTCCTTCTTCGCTCTTTGCCAATATGACCATATCATCTGCATATGCCAGCGTCCAAAACCTCTCTTCTCCTGCCTGCACTCCTCCTACCTGTCCCTTCTTCATCTCCTCCTCTACGTCTGCTACCAGGATCGAAAACAGCATTGGGCTGAGTGGACATCCTTGTCTCACCCCTTTTTCTGTCCAGAACCATTCTGAGATTTTTCTTGCCACCTGACTGCGTTTCTTGTGCTTTCGTATATCTCTTTGGTCCTCTCTATTAACCCCCTCCTTATCCCTCTCTTCTCCATCGCTTCCCATAATACCTTCCTGTCCACTCTGTCGAATGCCGCCCTCAGGTCCATAAAGAATCCGAAGATTCTCCCCTTTTTTTTCTTTAGCTCCTTTCTTATCACGTGTTGCAATACATACACGTTGTCCATCGTACCTCTCTTCTTCCTAAACCCTGCCTGCGTCTCTGGTAGCATTCCCTTCTCCTCTATTTATTTCCTCATCCTTTCCGTCAGTATCGCCGCATATATCTTGTACGCTGTGCATAGCAGTGTAACTCCTCTGTAGTTGGTGGCCTCTCTTGCATCTCCCTTTTTATGTATCGGTGCTATCAGTTCTTCTCTCCATTCTTCTGGGAATCCTTCTCCCATCCAGACCATCTTTAGAACCTTCTTTAACACTTCTCTAATCTGCCCTTCACTATATATCCATGCTTCGCTTCCTATTTCATCCACTCCTGCCGCCTTTTTCTTCTTCAATTTCTTTATCTCTGCCTCTATTTCTTCATCCTTTATGCCTTCCTCTTGATCTCCCTCGACTTTCCTCCTGTCTGCCCTTTCTATCCTACCGCATCTGTTACCTTCCAGTAGTTTCAGGAAGTGTTTCTCCCACTCTTCCATGTTTATATCCTCCTGTGACTGCTCTCCTCTTCTTCTTTCCCTGTTAATAATTCTCCATATCTGCGCTTCCGTTTTACTGTTTTTGGCCTCCTCTTCCATTCTTTCTAGTCATTTTTCTTCTTTCCTTCTGCAAAGTTCTCCGTACTCTCTCCTCATCCTCCTATACTCTTCCTTATCTCCCTCTCCGTTTTTCCATCTTTTGTATGCTTTCTTAACTAGTCTCTTTCCTTTTGCACTCCTTGTCCCACCAGTCTTTCTCTCCGATTTTTCTCTTCCTTATCTTCATCTTTTTCTTCGTTACGCAATCCGCTATTCCCTTCTTCAAGCTTCTCCAGATCTCCTCCACTTTCTCTCCTCCTATTGTTGTTTCTCTCTCTTTGTTTCTGTACTTCTCAATACTCTCTTCGTTCCATAATACCACTTCCTTTCGCTCTTCCAACAGAGCACTTACATTAATAGATATATTAGCAAAGAATCTTGTCATTTGTTTTGTTATCATATTCATTACACCACTCTTATTATAAATTTAGTTTAACGAAACTACATATTAACTAATAACTATTATCTTCATCCAACACAAATAAACAAAATACAAAACTTTATTGTATAAAAATCACAATTTCCGATCACAAAGAACACAGATATCTTATCTTACCCAACTTTGATAAGTGTCCTTATCCACGCTTGTTATTTGACAGTAAAGTTTAAACTGCCATATTGCATTAAGAGTTCTGATTAAAACAAACGGATATAACACTTACGAAGAGTTTCACCACCAGACGAGGCCCGTCTACTGGGTTTTGGATTACTAGCAGAAATACTTCTGTGAACACCTCTGTGAGATGGACTCTGTACCGCGCCACCTGTTCCTCCACTGCTTCCTCCTCCACCACCTGAACTGACTTGAGGTGGAATGTTACGCAGCGACAACGAACTACCTGATCGTGATCCATCGCTTTCAGGCTGTGCAAACAGAAATTCGGGGAAAATGTAAAGGAAAACTGATTTACACGCTACCTGTACATATGTTACACATTATTCTTGATACATCGTATACTTACATCCGTCGTTTTTCTGCCTAAGAGCAAGTAAGTAGCGAATACATCGTCATATTTCGCTTGTCCTAAAGAATCTTCTATTTCGCTTCGAGTGTATCCCATACTGGCTAAGGCCTCTGAAATGATAATGCGTGGCGGCATAGTCAGATCCATTAGAGTTGGAATAATTTTCCAACATTTATAATTCAAAATTAAAAAGATGCAAAAAATTAAAACACAAAGCTTTACTACGTATTGTTGTAACTATACAACATTTAGAAATTAGAACTACGTATTGTTGTAACTATACAACATTTAGAAATTAGAACATTAAATTTTTTAAGTTTGGACTTATCGTCAGCGTGATGTATATCCGTGTTTTAACATTCTTAAAATACACACTTAAAAGTAAGATGTGGTTTTAGTTCAATTTTATTAGCATTAGTTTATAAAAATTATATTTTTAATTAAGATATATTTCCATGCAATATAATTTTTTTTTTCAAGAAGCAGTTCACAGACACACACGTAAATATATCAGACTGAATAAGATCAGAATCAGACTGATTCTCGAAAAATAAGCTATAAAATGTTTTTACGCTGTGCGTAGAAAATGTGCACTTACAAATCTCTTACTTGATACAATTTAGCAAGACATTATCTCAAATTATACGTGTTCTAAAGATTCTGTATTCAGCTTTCTAGTAGAAAACTGTGATACGGTACGTGTTACTGAATAATATTGAGTAAGACTGTCTGATATATTTCGATAATATATTAATAGTGATTACATTGCACAACTTTCCAACTACACCCAATCATGTGAACATTCTTCTTAAAGAAATTATATGAAAAATCCAATGTATTAAAAGAACCGTGAAGTCATAATATATAGTTTGAGGACACATGTATATGCGTGTCGAAGAAGACAAAGGCTGATTATTGCCATTAATTTTGAATAATGTAGAATGTTCACAATGGTGTGACATTAAACATAAAAACGGTAAGTAGTAAGTGTTATGTACATACTGGTAGACTCACCTATCCTCTTGTGATCTCTATAATCAGGTTCAGGTTCTAAGTACGGTTTTAATTCGTCATCCTCGTATCCCAAATTCATCCACTTATCCTTCATTATGTTCTGCAGCGATAAAAATTGCTAAATTATTTCTCTCAAACATAACTTATGCGTGATTAAGAAATACTCGCTGGTAAATGCCCAACGATGAGAAAAAATTTTGTTAGCCTTAACTCACCTTAGTAAAATAATAAAAAAAGAATGGACTAAAATACAATTCGAACCTGATCCCCACGTACCTCTAATGAGGCTCTCTTCGTTGGATTGAGCACCAAGAATTTCTTAAGAAGATTTTCACAGTCGGTGGACATATAAAACGGAATTCTATATTTCCCCCTTAATACCCTCTCCCTCAATTCCCTCAATGTCGAACCATCAAAAGGCAGTGAGCCGGATACCAGTGTGTATAGGATTACACCTAACGACCATACGTCCACTTCCGGACCATCGTATTTCTTTCCTATAAATGAAAAATTGCGTAAGTAAATTTTAAGCTGATTGCAAATCCGCACGAGTCATTTCAAAGGAATACCTTGAAAAAGTTCCGGTGCGGCGTATGGCGGCGAGCCACAAAATGTGTCTAACTTGTTACCGGGTGTAAATTCATTGCTAAAACCGAAATCGGCGATCTTGATATTCATTTCACTATCGAGCAACAGATTTTCGGCTTTTAAGTCTCTATGAATGATCTTCTTTTGATGGCAGTATTGCACAGCAGAAACGATCTGCCTGAACTTCGCTCTCGCCTCTTTCTCCTTCATTCGCCCGTGCAGAACCAGATAGTCGAAGACCTCGCCACCACTGGCATACTCCATTACCAGGTACAGTGTCTTTTCAGTCTCGATCACTTGGAATAATTTCACTATGTTTGGATGGTCAAGCATCTTCATTATCCTGACTTCTCGGAACAGCTGTAATTAATCAGATCTATCAGCATGATTCACACACTTACATTTATGTGAAATATGCATGCATCATTTTAAGTTTTTTTCCGTAAAATTATGATAATGCTACATGATTCATGGACGATGACAAGTCTTCTTGTGAAAATATTAGTATGCAAACTAATTGTAAGGCAATACAATTAAAGTAGTGATTTGTACGTTACAATCAATAGAAAATAACAGCTAATGATACCTAACATTACAAGCATGAAAATGACAAATTAGTTATAGTCTCGACAATTTCTGTTTACTGAACTCTTTGTAAAAAGAAAAATAATATTGTAAAATATAATATAATTAACATTAAGAATTATTTGACGCCAGTGAATGACTAACAATTTTTCGCAATAAATTTTCTGTGTTAAAAACATATCGCCAGTCATGGTCGATTAGAAGCTTAATCATATAATAGTGATACAGCGTTACCTTTTGAAGACTACCGGGATTCAATTGAGTCTTATCGATGATCTTGATGGCTACTTCCTTCCCCGTGGGCACATGCTTAGCAAGCTTCACCTTGGCAAAGTTACCTTTGCCAATCGTCTTCAGTAATTTGTACTTGCCGATATGAGGTTCTTCGGAGGTTCGACTCCTCGAAGAGAGCCGACCTCCGCTACTCGACACCCCTACGCCATCCCCCGTCTGTAACACGTAAAAATCATCGATCGATGAGCAAATAAAAGTCAAGTGAATTATAACGTTGTCGTCAAATTGCTGTATGTAAAACACTCATCGTCGGATGTCAATTCTTATTCTAAGATTACTTCGAGCAATTTCTCGATTTACTTCTTCCTGATGTGACACTTAATATCGATTATATATATTTAGACAGAAACATATCAGAGACATAGAGAAAACTCCTCTATGATGAGATAGGATCCTAGTATGGGATAGCGGGGTTTCTGTTAAATTAATAGACATCCTCGGTTGACTCCACCATGAATTTATTGTCCTTGGGGCGAAATCTGTTTAGTGGAAAATTGATTGTTGGATTGTGTACTCGTAGCGAAAAAAGATTTGTGATTGAATTTGGGTGTTGAGAACCTGCTATCTCATATTAGAAACTTACCTCATAATAGAGGACTTTCCTCTACATATACAGTTAATATTTTAGATATTTAAAAGTATACAAATTGTTTAACTCTTAATAAGATTAAGCTAGTGGGTTTTTATATAAATAGATGCGTTAAAATTAAGTTATTGAACGGTTTCAAGATACGGACACAGGAAACGTATAATTAAATTAAGAGTTTAATGCCTTACATAACATAATCCGTAATCTAAATTCGATAACTTGGAAATTATTACGAGCGCTATATGTACCGAGCGTGCTAATTTATTTCGAGAAACGGGAGAACGCCGCGCAAAGTTGCGTCGTAAATAGCCAACTATTTCAGAAACTTAGGCCGCATCTCCGAGCGCGGCGTTTAAAGTCACGGAATGGGGCGGGAGAAATACGGGGCAAACGCTCGTTAAGAGCTCGGCGCGCATTCCTCGAGAATGCCACATCGCGAGGAATCGCGGATCCCTCCCACCTCGCGCCATATCGCATTTATTTACGCATACGCACATGCCGCACTTGACACTTCCAGGCACGGCGCGGCGGCGGCCATTGTCAACGGAATTAATTAAAACTCGTTAAAGTGTACCAGATACAGATTGTTCCGTATGGAGCTCGCTCTCCCGGACCCTCCCGTATTAATCGCAAGGACAACCGCTGCGCCACGTCGACGTCGCGCGTGCGATTTTTTTTTACTTCTTATCGCTGTATCTCTAATAAAGGAGAGAAAAAGAGAGAGGAAAAAAGAGAAAAACGGCAGAATCGACGTGACAAGTATTTATGAAGAAGTCGCGAGTATTTAAATGCACTATGCACAACCAGTCAGATATGGGTGGATTTGAATTACAAGAGGCATCAGGGATTTCAAACAAAAGCTGTAGACTACTCGTTTATGATGAAACGCGCATATGTGAAAAGCAGACGAGATTAAGTAATTGGGATAGAGCGAGGGGTAAACCCCGCATTGTGGTGTACAGGTTTGCGGGCATTACCGGACATTAGTTTGGGTATTAGGCCTGTCTGGGGCATTAGAAAGATAAAATAAGATGATAAGATAAAGTAATGCCCACTGGGCATTAGTAGGCGTTGGCGTACATGATTTGGTCAGCGGTTTACCCCTCGGGATAGAGCAATTTGACAATTTACTAGGCAGGATTTTGGTATTACCCGCAGGAGGCCACGCGTGACCATCTTGCGCGAGATGGCGGTGGCTGCAGCTTTAGAGGCCGCCAGTTTGACTGCTTGTGAGTCTTAGCAGGACGATCAATGGACGACGGATCGACGACGGATCCGGTAGACCGCTTCCTCGTGCTCGCATGCGCGTGATTTAAATGGTCGGCGAATGTCGCTGGGTTCGTCTGTATCGCGAGAACGCGCAGAAAAGGTCCGACACAGCGAGACAGATCGATCTTAATCGACTTCGCCCTTCGATCTTTCCGTCACTGTCACTTCGTTCCACGTGTCGACGTCACGATTTATTACGAACCGTACCCGACTCCTTTTTCCGACTGTTTTGTTTTATTAATCTAATTCTGGAGTCGTCCTCGATAACGAAGACCGGCCGTGATCACCTACGATCGAGTACCGCACTTCTCGTGGTCGATCGTTTTGGAAGGTCGAGCGATGAGTCAACTTGCGAAGCGTATCACCACGCTGGTTCATTTTACCGGGACGTAGGGCGGTGTCGTATAAAAATCACCACTGTGTTTCAATAAAATTAACTGATTGTTATATCGGCCGCCACCATCTGTCATCAGAACACCTCGATTTCCGGTTGGAAAGATAAATGAGTAATCCGTTTTGACTTCGGTATCGCGATTTAAAGGGACACTTTCAGTTCCGATGATATTTGAGTCACACTTCTCGATTGCTAAATCTCTCTTTCTTGTACCGCGCGTATCGTTTACAAAATACATAATATAATTCTGCGAACATCACTGCCCGATATATTTCGTGAGGCACTCTTTGTACTGGTATTGACTGGGGATTCCTCGAAGATGATATTTGTACTCCGCTAGAGCGGCTCGCGTTTCTCGGAGTCGTTGTCTTCGGAAAACTTGCCCTCCCTGCGGAATGTAACTGTGCGACCAAGTGGGGAGCGATTTGTTTCTTGAGAAACTCCGTTTCAACGAATACACAACTTTGATGTACAGATCGCTATCGATATTCATCAATCAATTTCAAATTTAGTCGCAACTGAATCCAAGAATATTCCAGCGAAGGCGTGGTACATTATTCTTTCAGACGTCATTGGCTAAACTCTAATCGCTACCACGTCAACCTTTCGCCAGCGATAGTCAGGTAGGACGTCAATGACACCATCTCTCGACTCGGCACAGTTCACATCTAACATCGATCCATCACCGCTTTCTGAGATATAGCTCACTGACAGTTAATTGAAACACAATCACAAATTACGAAATACACATTACGAAAAGACTTCCGTGGTAGAGCCTATCGAGACTGTGGAAACCGATGTCATCCTAGATGTTCCACCCTGAATTCTCCACGATATCCGCTTCCGCCGAGTCTTCAGACTTGCGTCAAGGGCGATGTCACCGTTCGCGAATCTTTCTCGTTTGTCTATCACAATTGTCGTGCATCGTCTCGTCGTGTTCTCCCTCTTTCAGGAGAAAGAAAGAAAGAGAAAGAGACTGGGAGAAATGGAAAAAGAGAGAAACGATGATTGAGAAACGAGAGGCGGTTGCTTTGGTCGTCGTCGACGTCGACGACGACCGTACGCGACTGCCTTCTTCCTTTTCCACCCTCGAAACGAGCCACCCTCGGAGAAGAGACCACACAACCGAGGGATGCGAAAGCAGAATCAATACACGGCGCCGCCACCCCCTGGTGGAAACGTGCGAGCGAACCACCCTTGAATGCCTAGCCCCGACGTCGTTCACCCACCCTTCCTGCCACCCCCACCTCGATAGAAGCACGCATGCGTCGCGGAAAGTGGGAACCACCGACACATGTTTGTTCCGTGTTCTACCCTTTTAGCCGAGGGTGCTGCTCACAATCGAGAAAGCAGAGGGTTTCGGCCTGGTCAGCTGATCGGACGAATGTCGCGGAGCGCAGGTACACGTCCCGAAGGAAAACGCTTCAAATTTCTAACACGAGCCGACAAAGACGCAGCCTCTGTCTTACGACTATCGTAACTGCAGAAGAGATGGTTATTTATAATATTTGTACTTCGGAATAAAAAAAAAGTAGGTAAAATTAGCACGATATCGTTTTATAGTGAAGAAAGAAAACATCGAAGGAAGCTGTCGAAGATGCTCCAATTAATTCTAAGATACCGATACATCCTGATGATGACGCACACATCTGTGGGATGTAAAGTGTGGGATGCCACATCTTCACCTTTATCGTCCTACCTAGCAGCGATTTTTCGCCTCGTCAGCTGCTCGAGTCAACTGCTATAAAGATTATCGCAACATAGTTTAGCGTTATATATACAATATGAGACTGATAAGTCTATCGAGTGTCGTTAAATGATAACCTGCGTCATCGACTTTTGTTTAACACTAATGTAAAAAAACGCATTAAAAATATTTCCGGAGGTTGCTTAACATTTACACGCAACGAGAAAAAATTAATTTGAAAATTGTTATTATTTGCGTCGCTCTAAACCCTGACGACATTATAAACTTGAGCATGACTAAGCGAGATAGATAGGAATAAATTGAATTGGGACAATATCGATCTTAATATTGCGGCGATTATAAAAAGACAAATCGCTCAAACAACAAACTTACAACGTTTTCTTTCCGTGTGAGAGCACATTGATTTCTTTTTTCGTTAGATACTTGGGCGAGGATGCTCGGGAGTCATGTATGAAAAGGATAAAGTCCAAGTTTCTGAAAGAGGTAGCGGCAAGAGAGCGTCAGCTTCCGTCAGCTGATCAATCGACCGAGAAAGTAACGACGAGAGAAGAGTCGCCGACATCCACTCCACGCAAAAGGTGGATAAGAATAGATTCAAGTTGACGCGAATTCTCCACGGAAAATAGAATCGCGTACACACGTGAACTAGCAAATAAATTGTGCAGCTCCGTTTAGGTGCTCTGTTAAACATGAAAAACCAGCAGAGAATCTCCCCCAATTGTTCAAGCTGAATTACGTTTACACAATAAAGACTCAATGCGTTCGAATCCATTCAAATTAATAAATCATTAATTATATCGCATCTCTTTATCAACGATTATTTTAATCGCATTGAAAAACGCTGCGTATTAAATCTCGGATTAATCGTTTGTATTGGCATAATTAAATTTTATAGTAAATATTTTTTATTAATTATACACACACACACACACACACACACAGATGTTTGTCCTGTCTCTTCTTAGACAATAATATAGAAAAAGATAGAGTCGACTAACCTATGGTTAACAGTTAACCAGAAAATGGAAAACCGGGCGTTAAATTGAAAATAATCGTCGATTTCAACGAAACTCACGATGCTTATACAGACGAAAGCTGCTGATGCTGGATTTCTACGAAGATTATGATTATGTCTCCATAAAACGGCGAGAAAAATGGGAAATGGCGAAATACATAACGTAAAACAAAGCCAGCACTTCCGCTTTCGCGGGGTGCATCTAAAATTTGTTTTATGGCGCGACACACAAAAGGTGATGCGGATGTAAAAATCAAGTCCCGCTCCAGAATGTCATCCGCCGTTTTATATTGATGCATATAAAAAAATTCTATTAAAAAATGATCTATTTTTATATCTTCAATATTTTCTATCAAGTGCCAGAGAAACATGTTTAATGTGCTCCTTAAAACTCCAGTGATTAGATTGAAACAAATCAAATAATCGAAATATTTTTGTAAACTTAATTTGTATGTTAACATATAAATAAATATATTTTACTCTCGAGTAAGTTTTCATATTTTGTTTCTCTAAAGGATTTACATATATTTAGACCGTTAATAAATAATTTTTCATATGGAAATAGAGAAGGAAATCTCGCTGAAATTTCCGAGACATTTCAGATGCATTTTGCATGCAGAATTAATTAACTTCGACGGGCTGCGCGATTGTTGTAACGTGGCATCCGAATGGCGCTTCGACGAAGCGGGGAAATCGTCCGGATTATTTCAGGTCGAACGGATGAGCCGCAGAGACGAATCATACGTGTGACGTAAGTGTGGAGGTGCATTTGCGTTGCCACTCGTTTGCACTCGGTTTGTCAGCGAGGGTGTCACATCGCCGATATACATATACGGGCGATCGTAAAGTCCGCGCGTGATTGCGTTTTTAATGTTTCTTTATTTTGGATTATTTATAATTGCAATTTTATTCAACTTTTTTAACACTCGAGTACCTATCCGGCTCGTGACGATTTCAACAATAATCGCTCGATAAAGGCCCGAACACACGAGACAACCCAAGACTCGAGGGAAATGACCAAGGAGAGTCGAGAACGTAAGCAGCCATTTTGAAATTTAAGCAATGCTGAAAATTTCGATTGGCCGAAATTCTTACAGCTTTTTCGCGTGTTCGGGCCTTAATCCTCGGCAAAGTTACAACTGCGTAATACCATACAGTCTAATTATTCTACGATAGACATCAAGAAGTGACGCGATTCTATTCTTTCTCTCCTGAAATCAGATAGAAATCACTCGATCGACAAGACGCCCGATAACGTTTCCCGATAATGTTTCTGACGCGAGCGATAACGGTGCAATCGATGCCTATATACCTATACATATACATATTATATATATCTACCTCCTTCTCGCTCTGAATACTCTTCTGCATGTCTGACAACGGTTTGAGCGGGACGGCCGTCGCGTTGTTCTGCTGTTGCAGTTGCTGATGTCGCTGATGATCCTTCTTGGTAACTATCGGCCGGACGATCGCGCGAGTTTGCGGCATCCTGGATTGCGCTCTCATCTCCGCTTCTTGCCCTCGCCGCGTATCCGAAGCGGTCCTGGATAGCTTAACGGTGGGCTTCTTTGGCGCGATGCCGGCGTTTCCGGTGGAATTCCGCGTCGCGTCCCCGCGGTGCAACAGCGAGGCCCTTTTTTTTCGTTGACGTTTCATTACAATTCGTTCGTCATAATTCTTTCTTCGACCGTTCAATGTTTTATGGCGTCGTGTATCGCGAGTGTGTGATAACCAATAATGGCAGGTGTACAAGTGTTCGTAATTCGAGCGTTTTGCGCGGTAGCGTGTGCTTAATTAATTCGGATAATGCGGGGAGATTACGTTTCAAACGTGGCAGGGAGAATACTGCATTTGGGGAACACGACAGATAAAGGCAGTCGGTAAAAATAAAAGTAAATGACTAAACGCCTACTTTTCAGCATTAAATTCTTCGGTATCGAAATCTTTAATTAAAATATTGTTACGATTAAGTCCACTCGAAATAAACTGGAGAACAACATTTGGTTATCTGTTTACACACCGGCAGACACAAATTCAGAAAAAAAGTACTATCTTGATATTTTTTATCGCAGCGAGTCCGAGCAGCAATTATCGAGAGGATCCGCGCGGGATGTTTGCAAGCTATTCGGTGACACCCGGTATATTTGTTCATCAAAACATCTGTCGCTGCGACACGCACTACTCCCCTGATCTCTCCCGGTTGGGCGTGTAATGACCGACGTGCAATGGCGACGAACCGAGCGACGGAAATCACGGGATGAATCGCTGCACGGTTGCGACATTGCGTAAACTAAATGCCAATTGTATCGAAGAAAGGGACGCGCGTGGGTGTAAACGGACAGTCAATTGTGCGGATCAGGCGTGTAGGTAATCGGCCAAACGGCGAGGATCAGGCGGAGGTTGGACGGCGATTTCCTCAATTATCACTAAGGCCATCGTCGCTCTGTAAATGTGGTAACGGGTCGTGTGCGTGTGCCCTATCTGTGTACGCGTTCTCGGATATTGACCGATTGAAATGTGCCTCCAACATTTTGACGACGATTAACATGCGGAGATTGAGATTACGATCCCGTGGACGAATACACATTATGTAAATTTTGAAACACGATTAATCTCTCGAGTCTTTCTATCTAGATGAAGATAAATTACTTTTAAGATTCGTCTTCGAGATTACCATTACTTCTACTCAATGAAAATGAATTTTTAATGGAAAAATCTCTCGATTGCATCAACGAGACTATTTTTGAATGAAGAAGAACAAGGAAAGAAGATGGGCGAATGATGTGTTCGATGAGAAGGGGGTATCGATAGTGTCGACGACAGTGTCAATGAGCGCGTGTGATGATTGACATATGACGTAGACAGAGTATGTATTTTACCCCTCGGCCTCGTCGTCAGTGACGTTTCGCAGCAAGTCCTCGTGTTCCTTGTATCTAAGCTGGACTTCCGCTCCGAAATCCGAACTGTTCTCCAAGTGGCGCGTCCTTGCAGCGATCGTGCCCATCTCGATGGCCTTAACTTGCTGCTCCAATCGTTGCAGCATGTCGGTGCTCTCGAGCGTCGTCGCGCCCGTCGATGCTGTTCGCTGCTGCTTCAGAATCAAATCGAGACTGAGCGGCGCCTTGGGCACCGCCGACAATGGAGCGGGTGTCAGCTCCGTCCTTTGTTGGACATACGGAAGTCCGATCGGTTGGATGATCTTCGACTCGTTGAAGACTCTTAACTTCTCCTCCAGACTCGCGTCCATGTTCGTGTCGCTGAGGAGTCTCTTTACGGAAACGGGAGCGCGACTATAGAGCGGGCTTGTGGGTACCTCCTTGGGTCTGATCGGGCTTAAAGCGCCGGACCGTTTCTCCACTACCTGCAAACCCTTGTCATCCTCTACCAGTTCCCACTGCTTCAGGCCCTCCAAAGGCGCGAGCGGCGCCGATAACCGCTTCGGTATGCTCATCGGGCTCGGTTCATTAGGAGCTTGTCGATTCAGCTGACGCACTGTCCTTTCTGCGGGCGACGGCATCAGGAACTTTCGTGCACCTGCCTGCGGTCGAATCAGGCTTCTGCTAGCCTGTGTTCGCACGAACGGACTCTCTCGATCGTCCATCACCGAGAGACCTCACGTAGGAACGTAGGAACACGGGAATTGGCCGCCGTTGCTGTTTCTCAGGCTCTCCTTGATCTCGTCTTCATAAGACGGTCCTTCGTTGATAACGTATCGCTCGCTGATGAACCTTCAACATCGATTCGCCGGCCAAACCGGTCAACGACGCTGCACGGAAGATTTAGTCTCTGTCGAGAAGAAGACTTGTGTTTTTCTTTTTGAGAAAGACGTCAAGCACTGCGATCATTATTAAACACATCACACAGAACCCAGAACCCGAGAACGAGCCACGATCCAGTTGACCGATTCTTTCCTTCTTCCTCTACACCTTCATCCGCTACACAATCACATGTACCAATAAGCGAACAAGCGGTACGGGTATAGGCTTTCTGGTAGATGGAGGGAAAAAGCTTTATTAAACGGCGGCACTGTGTTGGCACTTTTTGCAATCGTAACGTTGTAGAGAATAAAGCAGATAGGTACGCAGGGAGACTCGCGATTTCGTGGATTACCGCGGTTTAATGCGAGTAGACAATGAGTAAAGCTCGGTGAGACTCGTAAACATGCGCACGTCTTTATTTGTGACTCAGATGTCTATTACACAATGTCGTTTAACCGAACGAAATTAACTCGTTAAGTCAAATGCGTCAGCACATTGGAAACTTTTCGTACGCCTTGTACAAAAAGTACAAGTATTAAAGAATTATCTAATGATTCGTTACACAAAAAGGACTTTCAATAGCGATACAAACGATGCCCGTTGAATTTACATAAAAATAATATTTCGTAAATTTTATCACATACATGTATTATGCTTTAAATACGAAATGTGAATTAATGTTTCTTGTTAACTCAAGCAAATGTCAGTCAAACAAATTCGATATTAATCTATTAACAAAATTTCTTATAATAAATAAAGACGATATCCACCTCACGGATGTGTCATAATATTTTATTTGAGACAATCGAGCGAAACGATATCGGGGATATGCCGAGATATCGGGTAAAGAATATCTCGTACCACGTGTGGTTCTAAGACGACGATAAGGACGCGTGTACTTATAATTTTTCACTAGCTCCGTCTTGATCTGGCCCGACCACGATGTGAAAGACATTCCTTCAATAATTAATGTCGTTAACGGTTAACGTTTTACGAGACCTACGAGAAATTTATCACTCAAAAGTCGAGATGTATGTAATAAACGGCATTTATCATCAAATTAATTTCGTGTCATACAAAAATACTCTTATGGGAATACATAATTCGATTATGTCATCCAATCATTTTTCATGTTTGAGAAACTTTACTTGTTTTACCGTTCAAATTTAGAAACGCAGTATTGTATGTAAACGAAAATTCAGGCGACTATTTAAATATTAGTTTCCTCTCCCACAATGATTTTTCGATGAAACAGTTAACGAATAGACGAATATAAACGAACCACCAATGTTTGCGCTCTACGAGTGGCGTTCTATTCGTTCTCTTAGGTGAAGCAACCAGCCGGAAATTTGCTTCGAGATTGAAACGAGACCAAGTCTAGAAGGGGGTGACCTGTTCCCTCGATAGAGCGAAGGGTAGGAAAGCAATTTTGCCAATGGAAAATTGAACCGGCTATTTCGAATGTATAAACGATGAAAAACTTAGGGCAATTTGAAAGATTTAACAACACAACGGCCGACGATGAATTATGCTAATCAAATTTTTTCCCAATATTAATTGATAGATTTTGGATCGATCGATGAATATACGATTGTAGACCGAGGTTCAAGTTGCATTTAAACATATAAAAGTTATAAAATGTGTAATGAGTTTATAAGTTCCGAATGCTTCAATTCTTATGTGGATTTAATGATTTAATATTGTGAAAAGTATGACCAAATATATGTTTTCTTTTAATATTACACATGCATTTTAACCGTTGCAAAAAAATGATCCAAAATAATTGCAATTTTTAGGTCGCAAATTGTTATGTCTTTAGGATAGTTAATCATACATAAATTGAATAATTTGTAATTATTTTAAAACTTTCATATTCTGAATGAAGACTTTACAAGAGAATTAATTTCTGCCATCTTTATCAGCTCGTAATACACTTGCAAATGTCACATCGCGTGGTAGATTAAAAGATTAAAAGACGAGATAACGATATCTTTTTGATTGTCGATATTTAAAGATAGACAGGTTTTAGTGGAAAAAATTGAAACTAATAATAAAAGAAGAATGATGCATGATAAATCAATAACGTTGCACTTTAGGTATTGACTGATCAATTAGCCTCGCAGACCTGTAATTTCCGATTATTCGTCAAGGTGATATATATACGTATGACCAATTCATCGAGAGATGTCGAAGAGAACTTGTCGAACGACCGACGCAAACACCGACGCTGTTTTTCAACAAGGCGATAGAGAGTCATAAATTGCGAGCAAACGGGAAAGAGTACGACGATTAAGAAGATTTATAGATCAGAGATATTATACAGGGTGCTCCAGATCACTCCTCTTCTCAGTTTGCAAAAAGTTCTATGGACTTTTGAGCAGTTTGAGCTCATTTATCTTCGCGCAACCTTTTGACAAATAACATAACATTCGTTAACCAGAAAACATTTTAAGATCCTACTAACGTTACGTCCAATCAAAATTAAAGGAAGAATATAGGTCTACGGTCTTTTAAAGCCACGTTCACGAAGCTCAGAAATTCTTTATAGCTTTTTATTCTTCGTCTTATCGTTTAACAAATACTGGCATTTTAAGTATTCGCGATGCTATTTCCTAAGACAAATTTAATATACTCATTTCGAAATTTAGATATTGTTCCGTGTTAGTTAAAGAATTTGTATATTTCTAGTGCAGATTTGTGTTGCAAGTCGTTTCAAGGAGTTCTTTTTCACTAGCGCTGAGAGTTCCGGTGAAGCATAATTGCCCGAAGCATATTGCAATCATCGCGACCTAAAGGCGTTCTTAATAAAGAGGTCCGATGCAGATCTGCCTTTGTATTTATTAATTGCTGTAGGAACGTTCAATAACAATGTGGGAGTCTCATTGTTTCGCAGAAGCGACTTCATAACGGCAACCGTTTCTCTTCCCGCGATTAATAAGCGATTGGATCATAAGGATTTTCCGGATAATCGCAAATGCACGTTTTCGACTAATCCACAGATTACGCAAGAGCCTGACTAAGTTGGTCTACATAGCGGTTACAAAAATATAGCGACAAGAGAAATGTTCTCTAGGAAAACGATACAAAAAAAAAGCAAACGAAAACTCGAAAAGATGTAGTAATAAAAATGTATCTATTCCAATCAACAACTTGGGAAGATGGTTATACGAAGATGTTCCAAGAAAATTGCAGAATAGATACATAGCACCTGAAAATATAATATATCAAGTATGGTACGTACGATACGCTTCAGGATTAAGTTAACGTTCTCTTGGAAGGCATTACGTCAGTGTCTTTCTGTGAACGGGAGAGAAAGAGAGCGCGTATATTGACAAATTTTATCGGCTATGGTAAACGGTGTCGCCGGCGTGGAGGAGGTCGGGAGCGCTATTCGATAATGCGACAATGTGCAAAACCAAAGATTTTCCAAGATTACAAATATAATTGGAGGAGCCGTAGAACATGAATTTCCGTCGATCAGTTGCGTGTCATACGCACGATACGTGTCACTCATACGTCACTTACACACACACACACACATATTGCACACAAATTTACACCTGCGGAAAGTTTTCGTTTAAATACGACGCGTAAAGACTCACTCGACGCTCGATCTTTTTCTCCTTTGTCTCTCAAGAGCATCGATTCCGGAAAAAAAAGAAAAACGAACGGGTAAAAAGACAAAAGAGAGGTGGTTACTAAGGCTGTATGGACAACGGCCGGTTATGACAAACTGGGTCCATTTCTCGAAAGGCGACGATAAGCGCTTGCGGAGCCGGCCAACTCGACTTCGTTACGCCGTTTATCAGCGGGAGATGCTGATAAGCGATAGCGCGTCTACCTAACACTCGGCACTGACGATCGTCGCGCCGAGAATCTTATATATATTGTACGCACGGAGCCGCGAAACGATAAAATATATCGAGAAATGCGCGTTGTACCAAAGCGTAAAAGCGGCGCAAATTATTGCATTTTCCAGTTGGTGTCGCGAGTTATCAAGGCTACAAATATGTGATATAGTAATAGTGGTGAGTGATAAACCCTGTGAAATGTAAATAACATTGCTCTTTTTACGTACGGCAGTTTTAAATTATCGAAATAATAAAAATTCGATTTAATCGATTGTAGCGAAACGAGCCATTACATAAGTGGTTAGCTGTCAAATGAAAAAGTATTTTTATCTTTCTTTAAAAAAAGCCTGAAATGAAGCCATAAAACGATAAAGATAAACTGAGTCGACGTGTAAATAATGCAATTTAATTTAATCGTGAATTAAAATCGTAAAAAGGATTTTACAAATAATTTTCTATTATTTGAAAAATAATGTTTTTTTCTTTACGATTTGTTACTTTGAAACGATTGCTGATATAGCCGCGAAATATATTGCGCAACTCTATAAATGGAGTTAAAACAAGTGGGAGATAGAATTGCGAAATTTGCATACATACATACGCCGTATGTAAATGTAACAGGCACAGATGCACGCGGATTAACCGAGTCACTTAAATCGCGTACGTTCCTCATTTATTTAATATGATCAAGCACGAGTTTCGTGCTTTTTCGCGCCTCTATGTACTCGCTCGTGATTTCGTAACTCTTGCCACACCTCGTACACAAGCAGGCTAAAAAGAATCTTCGAGATAAGCTCTGCAAATCTTGGAATATACACAAGTCTACGCTTCATATTTCCTCACGAATGCTAAACATATTCTAAAGTTCCCATCATTATAAATTTCTTAAAAATTTTTCTATTAACCTAGAAATTTCTCACAAACAAGAAACTATTGCCACACTCCCGCTATTACATAGAATTGGTGTCTAAAACAATAAGTTTATTGATATAAAAATAATTCTATCAATGTCAATGAAAATCAATTAGAATGGACAATTTAGTGTCGGACTGATTCGTCAAAAATACGAATACACTGTTTTCTATGGTATAAAAGAGTTGTACGATGTGGCATTTGCAACAAACGGTTCGTGGAATAAATCGCAAAGTTGTTACACAGGTGTCGAATCATTCGGACAATTTACACCGATCGAAACGATTTTAAGGACCAGCGCTCGACTCTGCCTACCTTGCGCACGAAGAACCAAACTTAGCAGCTTAGTGTTTCCAAATCGTTTCATAAAACACGGTTTGGAAGTATTTTGGACGCTCGCCAGACTTTCGCCGA